GTCACTGCTTTTCTCTTCACTGGTCTTTGCTTTTTCAGCCGGATTCAAAAAAAATAAATAATAAAAAACTGTCCAAGGAGATTATTTCAGAATGCTGCAGAAATGAGTTTGGCAAGCTCATTAAATAGCTCCGATGTACGACCAGTTGCAACTTTTTCGGGGTGTTTCTTTTCCTTGAACTGTTAAATTCTCACCCACATTCCCAAGAACTATTTTATCTCACTTTTAGAGATAACATCCTCCACCTCTGGCTCTTCCTCGAAACCAATTTCTTGCAGAATGCTGCTGCGACTGTAATTCCTCGGTCGTCATTTCCTGAGAGTGCTCCTCGGCGAACTCGTTCAGGTCTCTCTCAAACACCGCCAGGTCCATGGATTTTCCCAGAGACACAATCTCCTCCTCCACTGGCACTTCGGGTTCAAATCCTTCGAAGCTACAGACTCAGGCGACAGCACAATTTTCAACTACAGACTCACTCAGGCCACAGCTTCTTCCATGCAGAGGTAAAGGTCCTCGTCCTAACACTCAGCCAGGCCTGATCAATAATTCTGAGGCATATCACGATGTTAAAGTGGTCCTTCAAGTACTCTCGAAGGGTGAGGTTTGTGTTGTCTGTCACCTCAAAGCAGCACAGCAACAGGTGCTCAGTGTACAGCTTTTTAAAATTAGAAATCACCTGCTGATCCATGGGCTGCAGGATAAGAGTGGTGTTAGGTGGTAGATAGAGAGCCTTTATAAACTTGAACTCGAACTCTTCGAGGATGTCATGTTCGAGGTTCCGTGGGTGAGCAGGAGCATTGTCGAGAATGAGAAGGGCTTGCATGGCCATTCCTCGCATTTCAAATGTCGTTCGTATCTCAAAACAAAATTTCGCTCGCTCGACAGCTCGTATCTCAAATAACTTGTATGTTAAGGCACTCGTATCTCGAGGTACCACTGTATATATATATGTGTGTGTGTATATACACACACAAAAGGGTAATTGTGAGCCCAACTGAAAAATCCTGAAAATTTTTTGATTAACATCCATAATCATTAATGACGCATTTCAAAAAAATCAATGCCTTTATAAACTTAAATCATTGATATTTTCAAAACATGATATTCTAAATAAATTATATGCAGCATAATTCAAATGAATAATTATGTATTAGTTTACTTTTATCTCTAATCACATTTGATATTCTATAAGAAAAAATATTTAAAAATGAAAGGCTCTTTCTAGTTCTAATTCTAGGAATTCCAGTTCAAATATTTTTAAATAAAATAAACAAGAATTTTTATACATAAATGCGATCAATGATTTTTTCAAACTTCTGGACCTGGATTTCTGGTAACTTCACGGTGGGTGAAATCATATCTGCATGTATATATATACACATAGGTAATTCGGTTAAATGGGCAAATTGTGAAAAAACTATTCATAATTTGTGAATATAAAATATGCATTAAGTCGCATTCTTTCAACCAGGGTCCTACTTTTGGAAATTTGTGCAAATAGGGTCCTGTTATTGCAAAAATTGCTAAAAACCTTTTCAAGAAGATTTTAAATTGTAAATAGATACAAGATTCCGCTCAACAAATGCTGCTACTAAATTAGAGATGTAACATGCAAATATTTCGTATTTATCCTATACTGCTCAACACAGAATATTCATTTCGGACGAATAATGGAAACAAAATAAGTCACATTTTTAATAATTTAAATTGACTTCTTTTAAATAACACAACTTAGTAATGTATCACTTTTCATGTGTTAGGCATCAAGTAAATTTAAACAATTCTTAAATTTATAATATTTTATTTAAAAAAATGTAATACATAATATTGTATTAATTAATTTTAAGAATAAATATAAATTCATCCTTTATTTATTTACAAAAAAAAATTATGATTTAATATTAATAAGAATGTGCAGTAGATGTTTTTAAAAGTAGAAATATTTTCTAAGAATACGACATGTTGAATTCAAACTTGGGGAAACTTAGATTGTCTGAATTGTCATTCCCCCCGGAAAGGTTTATTTGATTAACAAAACAATAGTGAAGATAAACAAATTTGTGAAGGGTGCGTTTTAATAAAAAGATATTTTGTGAAGGGTCTGTTAACGGACCCAAATTTCTTCTAAACAGACCCCTGTACCCATATGACTACTTTCAGTTACCAGCAAAGCATTATAAGTTTAACTAATTTCAGTTATCAGCAAAACATTATAGACTCGACTAACTTTGGTCATTAAAACAAAGACTAAACTAGTTTTGGTTATCATCAAAAAAACTAGTGATGTAAAATTTCTCCAGGCCTGCACAGAGTTTTCACTTGAGTGTGAGAATGCGAGAAATTTGTGCATTCTATAAACCAATTTCAAAATTCGCGAATTTCTCGCATTTTGAATAAAATTTCTCATTGCGCCATTTAGAATAAAAATCCGTTCCACTTTTCTTCCTGGATCTTTCATTATTTTCAACATCTGCCCCATTATCAAGCTTCCCTATTTACCAGTATTGTTCAGAACCTTTAAGAACAACAGAACACCATTCCTCCGAACCACAGAACCTCTTTCAGAACGCATTTCTCTGCAACCACGTGTTTACCGTAGGTAAGGTTTCTTCATGTAAGACGTTCAAAGTTTTTGCGCATTAAAGTAAGATGGACAAATACCTTGTAAAGGCAATATCTTATACTCAAAAACGGACAAATGAAAATAAAACAAACGTGGGTAGAAACGATCGAAACGAAACAAATACGCATTTGAGCAACCTAATGAGAATAGCTGATGAAAAAGTAGATGTAGAACCTTTTCCATATGATGATGCAGCAAAAATATTCAATGCTTTAAAAATTAGAAGATGTTAAAAATGTATAATAATTAAAGTGTTTAATTATTGTGTTTTTTTTTTTTTTTTTTTTTTTTTTNTTGTTTATTGTGGGTTTTTTTTTTTTTTTTTTTTTTTTTAATCTTTAGAAATCTTACTTAACTTTTTAAGATCTCACCCTGTTTTTGAGAAAGGGTGAGAAATTCTCACCCATTTTTTTTCTGAGAAGAAAACACTGCTGCACAAGAATAAATTTAACGAAACGCAAGATATAAGTTTAATCTCACCATACGATCTTTATAAACCCAACACATAACTTTAAAAAACGGAAACAGTTGAACAATACTTCCTTTTTTACAATTTATCTATGTATTGTTGAAGTTACTTTCATTCAGATCAGTACCCTAATGTAATTAAATAAAGTATTTTGCTCTTAAAACAGATGTTACTTTAGGTTTAACAAGAAATGCTATGTTAAGGATTCAGTTCAAAAGAATGTTTACAACTTAAAAATGGAGAGGCTTCATAAGGTGATGGTAGACTAATCTTGATTATTACCACCAATTTAAGTTTAAAATGATTGTACAATGCTTCGGCTTTTTGTTTTGGTCGGTGCTGCAGTCACAAAATATTATATTTTATTATAATAATAAATATTACACACACAGTCAGTAATTTTAAATTGAAATTCACTTTTAATAAATAATATATTTACTAATGGGAAGCACATTAGTCAAAATGTGTATGAACAAGTAAATTCTATTAGTAGCTGCTTTTTTTGTTTGTTTTGTGACTAATTTCTTTATTTCTCTTTTTGTTGTCATATTTCTTCAATTCACCCAATGCAAAATATGTAAGAAGCAAAAGAAAATTTTTTGCAAAAATTATTTCACATACATAAACTAAATCAAAATAGATTCTAATTTGTTTCTCATAATTCCAAAAAACCAAATAATGAATTAATGCAACAATTAATGAATAGTAAAGTAGATAGATAATATGCATAAATTTTATGAAATTTTTAGGGCAATAATATTTTAAATAAACTAACTAGCGTCCCTTAAATATTTGAACAATCATATAAATTACAAAATAAGTTATTTGATGATTATTAATTCTTTAGAATTCGAGGAAAAACCATACATTTTTGATCAGATTTACAATTAACTGCCCCAGCTAAAATAAAAAAATTGTTTAATTTCTTTTCTTTTCTTTTTTTTTTTTTTAAATTTTGAGAAGTAATAAACAAAGTTATATTTTGATTGGGAATATTTAATGGAATAACTATGAACTTTTTTGGATGAATTTTTAAAACATGTTTTATAATAACAAAATTCTTCGTTTACAAAGTTTTTTTTAACAAAGTTTTATTTACAATCATAAAAAAAGGCACTCTGTTCAGAAAACTTGAGCTTCCAAACATTTTTTTAAAGAATTCGAAATTACATATTTAAAAGAAAAACCAACTCTCCTATTATCATACAATGAAAGTTAAAAAGCAGGACTAAATTAAAATAACGACAAATAGCTTCATTTTATTACATTTGTAAATAATTTACGAAAATATGTCAAAATAATTAAAAGTGCAGTGAAATGAAAGAATGGACAGAATAGCTTTTCATATTCTTTACTCATGCAAGAAAACAATACTACAAATGCGAAATATTGTAAAGGTATAATAATGACTAAAATAAAAATAGGTAATGTTAAGAGTGTTAAGAAAAAGAAAAACAATTTAAAATAGATAAATCGAAAAAGAAAAAAAGCCGGCCAGATGGCCGAGCGGTCAGCGTGCCTGACTGTGAAGCCAATGGTTGCGGGTTCGAATCCAGCTCAGGGCATGGATGTTTCTCTCTGTGTGTGTTCTCTATTGTGTGATGTGTGAATGTGGCCCACCCTATAAACGGGTATGTGGCAGCGTGGCGTGGGTAATGTTGCTCGCCTCCGTGACTTAGGTTCACAGGTGCCCACTGGGTAACGTTAAATGAGTAACAACTCCGGCATCTTCCTAGGCGAAGAACAAAAGTTCAGTGCCTGCCGTTAAAAAAAAAAAAAACCTTTTGGAGTCAAAAAACCTTAAAGTTGAATATCATTGACAAAAAAAAATTACTAATTTTAAAGTATATTAAACACTTTAAATCTACAGATGCATTTAACTCATAATTATAATCAGAATTCAATTACCTTTGTGTTACTCCTCCAGAAAGTCCTCCAGTAGCAGTACTATCACCAACATACACAACTGTACACCTAAAAAAAAAATTTTTTTTGAAATTAGTAACATTAAACTAAAGGTAAATTTTCAAATGAAAAAAAAAAGAGAATTAATTCTAAATTTAAATGACTTTATTTAAGTCAAGTACAACAAAGAATCACATAATTAAGAGGATACTCCATATGACGAATTATTGTCACGAATTGTGTCAAATATGATTCAAACAACTGAACATTTATTCATAATTCATAAAGTAGTAACATAAACAAGAATCAGTGTAGACATTATATGAACCTTATTATTTAATTTAAAATATGATTGCTTTAATTAAAAAAATACATTTTAATTAAGATATAATTTAATATATTCTTAAGGTTATGATTTTTAAGAAAGTTTTATTTCATCGATATTAAAGATTAATATCAAGAAAAACTTAAATTATTTTATGTACATCAAATGCTTTTTATTTAAAATGAGAATTTCAATTAAGCATGGCAATGATTTGTTTTAAAGTATTATTTTAAATCAAAAACAATTTATATTCAATCAGTCCTTAAATGAACAGCAGCATTTTGTTTATATTAACCTAAAGTTTGCTTTCTGAAATATTTAGGATAGACATTAGTGTTAAAGATTGCTAGAAATTTAATGCTTACAAATTAAATAATTCAAAAAAAGAAAAATATTGTAGTTCAAAAGTACTTTAATAAAATACTTCCACACATACAAAAAAAAATCTTTCTCTACATTACATGCAATGCATGTGATTAATAACTACTATTATTAGAGTTTCAAAAAATGGTAGAAGAGGATATAGATAAAATTAACAGTTACAACAAAATAATATATGTATTAACTATGTTAAATTAGAAAAATTAACAGCATAATATTTACAACAATAATTGAACAATATTCCACTGAATTTTAGAACTAAAAACCTCTGACTTCTACAAAGTTTTTTAAAAAAAAACTTGCAAACTACATTTATGCTATACAGAATAATATTTCATCCTCAATAAATTTTTTTTTTTACGTCATAAGCAATGAAACTAATTTTTTGATAGAAAATATAACAAATAATTGCACTGTAAGTAAGTAGATTTTACACACTGGAAAGTCCCATATCCGGAATCGTCTGGACTTCGGCAAATCCGGAAAATAGATTTCTACAGATAAAAGGTCCTTAAGGTAAACGAACATCAAAATATCCTTAGTCAATAAAAATAACAAATAGATAATTAATGCCAAATTTAAACAACAATGTATAAACCCACGTGGCTGTGCTATTTTCACAGCTTCTGTTACAGACTTCCACTTAGTTTTAAAATTCTCAATATTTTAATATGCCATTATGACATACAGTTAATTTCAAATCATGCATATGAATTAGTAATAATTTCTCGATCTATTCAATTACACAGTGAATCTGCATGTTTTTGCTGACCGTTTTTTTAGTAGTTAGTATAACGGATTTTCACAGGCTTTTTAGAATCGCAAAATGTTAGTACCATATTATTTCCTTAGGCAAACTTTGCATTTTGCTTTGCAAATATTGACGCAAATCACACATGGATTATCGATTGCACGCTGTGCTACTAATTCAAATTTTTTAATGTTACATATTACACAGAAAATTTTATTGACCACATTGTTTTCTTGATCGCATCTTCACCAGTTTGGGATATTCACAGTTTTAAAATTTTCGTTTTTTAAATATAATTCTGAATCACGCTTTTGAATAATCACTTTATGATTCTCTTTAGTCATGACTATTTCATCTCAAATCTGCAATTTTTTCAAAATATAAAATTTTTCCACACTCTGAAATTGACTGCCAGATTCTTGGCAGTAATAATCTTTTCATAAGATTAGATGTTTCCCTTCTGTATCTTTGCATGTCACATTATTTTTTTATTGCATGTTACATTATTTTTTTTTTTCACATTTGTGATTAATTTTATTTTTCATAAAATATTGCTGATGATTATAGATAGCTTAACCTTGAAATAAATTCATTATTGTGTGAACCACAAAAAACAAACTGCAAAACTTATTTTAATTTTTCAAATCTGCAAGTTGTTCATTCATTGCGGGGTTGTAACAAATTTTTTTCGAATCAAATTATACCTCTTTCTTGAGTAATCTTTTGAAAATATGTCCGAGATTTTACATGCTTTTATTTTTAATTTTATAAATACCTCTTTTTGTTCTGTTTTACAATCTCATATGCCTATGTCTGTTTTGTTGAATAAAATTTTCAGAAATGCTACTCAATTGTATATCTTTACTTAATAGTCGTAATAGTTACTACTAAATCCCATTAAGCTTGTAATTATGTACAACAGTAACAGCAAGTTATGTGCAGACATGTCATTGACATGCACTATTTAAAATCTCATTTTTAAATTAACTTTTTGGCTTAGTTATGAACACTTGCTTGGAGAAGAAAAAAAATGTACAGATAAACCATAGAACATTTTCACTTATTTATTTGCTTATTGCAGAACATTGCTAAATATATTGCTATAAGGAAAACATTTCTCTTGATCCAAAAAATATACATTCTAATTACAATAAAAATTAGATACATACTTGCGATTAGTTCCTCTGTTCAAATTTAAAGCAACATCAGGGACTATAGAATCCTATCAAAAGAAATAATCAACATTGATAAATAGATATAGACAAATAATAATATTGATCATATTACAAGCATAGAAAAAATCAAACAACACATAAAGAATAAAGGTAAATGAAAACAAAAATTACTGATTAAACACTCATACTTATAATAGTGATAACAGAATTTTACAAAACTTAATTTAAGAGTTTTAGAAAATTTTAAAAATAAACTATGGATAATCTATAAAGATTTTCCATGAAATACAATGGTATAATGAAAAGAAATAAAGATAGATTTTTTTTAGGGATTAAAATGAGTAAATTCCATGTTCTTAGAAAATAATTTTCACATTTTAAAATCAGCTGTTGGCATGCTAATAAACTAATTTCATATTAACTATCAGTGAAATTTAATTAAAAAAATTTAAAATTTCAGTTTAACAAAAAGGAAAGTAAGAATAATTTTAGTGTATACATAAAGATATATATCTTGCATAAAAACAAGTAATCGGGAATAAGTTATACTCCTTTTAACTACTTAACATTGCTATCAATATTTTTCTTCCTAACTGTAAATATGTTTCAAGCAAGTATTTTAAACATATTTGCTAACAGCTGAATAAGTTATGGATATAGAATGAAGGGTTGATTGCACATAATTGTGGAGCTATTTTCTGTTAATGGCGATAATTTTTCATAGTAATAATTAACTATTACACATGTAAAAATTCATTCAAAATTTTTTTAATTCATAAAGAAATTTTTAACAATTGATAAAATTAAGTCCAATACTTTTAATTCTTTAAAGTTGGAAATTAGAGTTGCATTTTTAAGCAAATTATAGTAAACAACTATCATACAGAAATATCATCACCATCATATGGAGCAGGCATTAAATCAAATATTAAAGGAAATGAAAAGTAACAGGAGTGTGTTACAATCAAAATGCACGTCATAGACTTTGAAACATGGGTGCAAGTTGAAAAAGAGGTTAAGACAGAAAATTTTGTCTGACAAAAATTCCCAACATACATCATACGCACTTTACATACACGACACATGCAAAATATCTCAGAGAGCTCCACCATAATGTATCAAATTTAAATACTGAACAAAAAATATCTGTTTATCCTTTCCTTTAATAAAATAACAGGGGCATAAGAAAGTACACCAATATAAATAATAAATGAACTTTTACATACTAAACTATATCATTAATTACAATTTTATGACTATCACCAGAAATATCTTCATTTCTGAAGAAAAAATATCTACCAAATGTATACTTTAAAATAACATACTTTTAAATGACTAAATTTCTTATCTAACTTTATTAGACTCACATTCATTTAAAATTACAATTCATATAATATAGTCAAAGCTATAGTAGGGAATTTTTTCATAAAGTGACTTTTTAGGTACAGTGAAATTCATTTTGAAGGAGTGAAAAACAAGAATACTAAAAACATAACTTTATTAATCACAGAAAACAATTTCACAAAAAAAAAACTTTTAAGGTTGAAATATAAGATAGCAAAAATAAAACTGTGTACAATTTTTGTTTTTCACATTTTGCATAATTGATATATTTTATATAAAGAAAAAGAAAATTATTGAATTTAACTGGATTAAAACAATAACTGTATTATTTCTTTAAAAATATTTTGCAATGGTGGTACTAGTACATTTATTTTTAATGTAACAGTCATCGACAGGCGATGCATTTTTAACATCTAAAAATTCAGTGACTGATTGCGTTCGATGAGAAATTATGTAAATACATTTTCAGCGTTAGTTACATCATCATAATCAGCGCTAAAGTATTATCATCATTTTATAGATATTTATCTGATGTTGAGCGTGTGTTAACGGATTCGGCAAATTTCATGTGCTTTACAGATTTAGCATTTCAGTTGACACAGTCAAAACTGTAGAAATCATATTCAAAGCTTCCAGAATATTTATTTTTCCTTTAGAAGCATCTTGCAGGCCACCGGAATTAAGAAAAAGAAATGATTACCTAGCTAGTTGTTAAGAGAAATGCTATTTGAATGAGTTGATTATTCCAAAGAATGAAGTTTGATGGAAAAAATTCCACACACAAATTTTACAATTTAAGCTCCTATACATACTTCAATCATCCTTCTAGTAATTTGACCATCCCATCATCTTTCGTATTTTGAGTCAAGGCAGAACACCAACAAAAAGACGAAAAAAATGTCAGAACAGCTTTAAACAGCTAATAAACAAGTCTTTATAAGAAAAAAAAGAATTCTGAAAAAGTTTTTGCCAGCTCTGTAGAGAAAACAATTTGATCTGTTTGAAAAATCTATAAAGTGAGATTTTTCTTAAAAAGGATGATGAAAAATCTGGAATAATTTAACATTATTGTAATAAGCAAATTCACAGACCAACAGAAAATGACGCAGGAAGCAGGATAACACACGAAACAGACAACATAAAACCAGGTTTCAACTTTATGTTCTTCACATCAGGTAATAAATAAGACATATAATTATATATTAATAATATTACGATGCTCAACTTTTTTTAAATTTGATATATTATTGTCTAATTACAGAGCGCCGATTATCCGAACTGCTCGGGACCGAACGTGGTTCGGATAATTGGAAAGTTGTTTCAAATCAAGTTTTAATGATTATTATTTATGCACTAACTTCCATTCTCACTTTTTCCAGACATAGGACTAGCAGTACTATCTAAACTAGTTCTGGCGTGTTTAAAAGTTTTTTTTTTCCAAATTTTTAAATATTTATTATAAAAATTTTTTTATACTTTTCTCTCATTTTCAATTTTTGTTTTTAAATCATATTTCAGCTTTTTATAAATTTTTTGTCAATTACTGATTTTACCACATTTTTCTTTATTTTCCATTGCAAACGAAATCCAGCAAAGATTTTTGTTTTATAGAATATGCTCTTTTTTAGATAAATCAACTGAACTGGATCAACATCATTTTGACGTTCTAGACTGTCAAAATGAAAAAATGAAGCTCGCATTCTTGGAAGATAATTTTCAGTTGAAGAGGGCTAAAGGGGTAGATAGGTTTTACTGTTTAACAATACATGTATGTATGGCTGCCATAAGAAAACTGCTAAGAAAGGTTGCAAATTAAATTTGGTCATCAAATGTAGAGGATACTATTTATTCTTCTAAATTTAGAAAAATTATCCATAAGTTAAAAAGTATTCCAAACTTAAATAAAAAAACAAATTCGGACATAGTTCAGATAATTGGACGTTCGGATAATAAGGATTCAGATAATTGGCGCTCTACTGTACAGATTTTGGCTGCCATTAGTAAGGCTGATGAATTAGAAAAACTTCATCGCACACAACTATAAAGGCCAATTTTAAAACATTTGTTTATGACTTGGAAAAATTTTACAAAAATGATAACATTTCTTTAATAAAATAATTACTATTGGTTCAGGAATGCTACAGATTGAATGGATTGCAGCATCTAGTTCTTCTGCTCCACCATTAGATCTAAAAATGAAAAAGCAAAATTAATTTAAAAATATGAATAGAATACATATTATTACAGTTAAAAATTATAAAATAAAATTTTTAAATAATAAAAAAATTGTGAATTCAAATTAATGATTATACATAAGTTATTTTATACTTAGAAAAATTATAAATTTTATTACCACTAAGATTATGTTACATAAGATATTTCTCTTTGTCTTAAAATTTCCTTTTCCTTTAACATGAAAAAAAAAGGGTAACATTGTTACCTTTAATATAAGTCCTAATATATAAAAACTTTATGTTTCTAAATTTATGTATAATTTTATACAATGATAATAATAAAATGTAATAAATTAAGGCTGAAATCAAGTAATCGAAAAAAATCTTTGCATTCTGGTCTTTGTGATGATCTCTCAATTAAATTTTAATTTTTTTAATAAGAGACAATCATAAAGTAGTTAACACTAGAATGATCATCATTCTTATTAATCTTGAACGACAACGTGATCATTGTAACTGCAATCAGAAAATTATGGCGAATATTTCATGATTAATTAAACTATCATTATAACAGGTAAGATCATTTTTAGAAAAACTTTTATAAGAAATATTTTAGCATTTTACTGTATTGTTATGGTATTATATTTATTATATATGTAAAAAAAAAATTTCTTTTTTTTCATGAAAAATAATATTAACATAAATCAATTATATATTATTCTAGATATTAAATCATCATTTGAAGTAAAAGTTATTAATGAAAATTTACTATCTTTCTAGGTTAGATATAATCTCCCATTTATTTCATTCACTTTTTTTGGAAACATAAGGCTCCAAATCATACTTTACATCGCAAAGCATACATTTGAACAAATATGTAGATTTTTTAACATGCAGCAATAAAGTATAATTGCAAATTAATGCTTATATTAGTATATCTTTTTTGGAGACAATTAAATGTACATTTGAACTATATTACACTCTCATTTGTACTTAGAAAACAAAACAGAAATGTTACACAAAAAAATAAAGACAAAATAAATATAATATTATTACTTATAAGTATGGGTACCTCTTAGTAAGTAATTTTACAAATATAAAAAACATACAAATGAAAATTTAATAACAAGCATCATAGAGAAAAAAAATGTTTTTCGACTTTAAGGTAAAAGAATTGAAATTTGTACAATATATTTTATAGTTCATTAAACACAAAGAAATTATATTTAAACACAAATATATATAGATATATATAAATACACCAAGAAAAGAGTACTAAAACCAATATTTACTTTTTGGCTGACAAAACTTGCTGCTGGACATCAACTTTGGTTTCATTTTCGTAAAAGTTTTTGGAAGTTACTTCATCTAAGAGCTCATCAATGTCATCAGCCATACTAGATTGAAAAAAAAATTTTTAGACATTACTTTATGTTTATAATTTCATGAATTTTAATAAACTTTCAACAAAAATTTCTTAACCCTTAAGTATGCAGACGAAAAAATGAGTGTTAGACTGCAAAAAGATAGCTACTTTACACTTGTATAAAACAAGAAAACACAATTTATTGCATCCTATAATTCCAAAATATATTTTTAAAAAGAAATATTAATTTAAACAGTTTTTAACAAATTTTGTACAAAAAAAAATTTCAGTCCTTGAACTATGCTCAAATAATTATATAGTTCTGACAACAACAAAGTACTAACATGAGATATACTAAACAAAAAACTTTACTTAAAGAGTATGCTGCTAACTCGAAAGGAAAAATTCATTAACTAAAGTGGGGAAGTAAAATTCATAACAATCTAGTACAACAACAGGGTTGTGGTACTTCGGAGATAACCGCGGGGAGATATCTAGCTCTGCTTTGAGAATAGCTTTCTAGTCAGAAACTTTTTAAGGTCACTAACATACATCCTAAATTTAAAGATAGACATAAGTATGAAATGTTTGTAATATTTGGTAAAACAATATTCAAATTCAACAATTTTAGTTTAACTTTCTCATTAGAATAGAAAGCTCAGAACTTGTAGGACAATATAATTGCTCTAATTGTTATTTATAACACTGCTTTATGTCAGAACTATAACATCAAATGATTGTAGTCAGGTTCAAAAGACTCATAACATTTACACACACTGCCAGCCTTGCTAGAGTACAAAAAACAAATGTCCTAAGGAAACTAATACTAGGTAAATAAAGTATTATCAGAAAGTACAGTCTTTCCTACATGCTCATTTCATTATGTGCAAAACAATATTTATTTGCAACTGCATAAATTTGTCACTTAGAAAGACAAAAATGTGAAATGAAACAACAAAAGAAAAACAAATTTTAAAGGAACTAGAAAAAAATTATCAGCTCTGACATTATTGAATTTCATTACGGATTTCCAGCAGATGTAAAAATAACAGCTAAGAAAATGATCTTATAAAAGCTATGGTTGTAAAAACGAATTTTTTTTATATTGTGTAAATTTTCATGCTTTACCAATTATGTAAGGATAAAAAATTTTTGCCTAATTGACATTTTTATATTTTATGGAAACAATATTCCATCTTATAAGAGCTATGGTTGCAAAAACGATTTTTTTTATACCGTGTAAATTTTCATGCTTTACCAATTATGTAAGGATAAAAAATATTTGCCTAATTGACAGTTTTAGTAACACCAGGAATGTTGGGCAAGGTAATTAAAGCCCTAGTTTGCATTAGTTTCTTTTTTAAATATCAAATAAATGGACAGATGCGTAGCCAGATTTTTCAACAGAAAATAAGCACCTTTTAGGCACTCAAAAAATATTTTTAATTACTTTCCAAAAAAAGTCATAATTAGAATCTCTGCAGTGATAAAAATTATTTTTTCTATCGTTTAAAGTTAATCATTTATTAACATAAAATCAATAAAATTCTAAAACATTTTCCCATAATCATGGTAAAAGAACTAGTTTCTGATAAATATTGCGGAAAAAATTATGAAAATCCAGCATTATTTGTGATTCTCTCCAGCATTATTGTGAGAAAAAAATCTCTTATTAAAAGACAGAAAATTAAGCACTTTTCAGAAACCTCGAATAAAAAAAGCATCTTCAAAGGCTTTTATAAAATATCAGCACATTTAAGCACTTTTAAAAATGCTACGCATCCTGATAGTTTTAAAAATAATACAAAAAAAGGCTACCATATATAGACAGTTACTTAATAAAGTAAAAGGTTAAAAATAAGGAAAAAAGTTTTGAACTGACGGTCAAAAATCAATATTTACATTAGACAGTACAATTATAATATAATAAAATTTCAGAAACTATTTTATTCATTAATATTGGAAGAAAAATTTGATTCATAACAGTCAAACGTATTGCTTGAAGTCTGATAAATATTTTAGCTATACTGCTATTAATATTTCGATCACACACAATTTATTTCTCATTATGAATTCACTCTTTTTATTTCACGTATACTTTGCATAATTAATAACAATGCTCGTATAAACAATTTGTGAATTGCATTATGACTGTTAATCATAAATAAAGAAGTCAAACAGAAAAAAGGAAGAGACAATTCAGCACCTTCATTTTTAACAGGGAGAAAAAGTTACTGAAACACTGAAAATACAAATCTAAGATAGGATTCGTAGGTAATTTATCAAACATAGTGTCTGATATAGAGAAATAAAAGAATAAAATTAATTTCATTCAAAACGGTTGCTCCGGTAAACAAACATTAGAATACTTGCAGTTAAGAAACGAAAATAACTACAGTTAAGAAAATGGCGGTCATTACTGCAACCCGCGGTTTATGACATTCAACCGATAAAAATTAGTAGTAATAAATATAATAATTAAAACATTATAGTACAGACCTGAAAACGTTTAAAGACCTAAAAGTTACTCAAAAAAACACTAGTGATGCACGAAAATATTGTTACTTCATTTATCGTCAAATTTTAGGCTTATATGAAAAATCTTAACTGTGGCCACCAAATTTTCTCCTATGTTGTTTTTGCATTGAAATAATAGGACATTGCCACTCTTTAAAGGAATGTTGTTTAAATTTGTTTCAAACAACTTTGGGTGGCATAAATGCTGTCGGGATGCGATTTTCCATTCCAGCAGCATTCACGACAGCTCGACTTAGATCCACTCGATCATGACCGTTTCTTTTTTCTTTTTTTTTTTTAAGAGAGGGCTTTGCGCAGCGAGGTAGAGTAGAAGAAAGTGGTCGTTCTTCCTTCTCAGAAGAGAAACATCTTGTTTTGTCATTCTTTTCAAAAAAGGAAGAAAGAAAGGAGTTGATTTTTTATTTATTTTGTCCGTCGTAAGTCGATATTTTTTCATCCTTCCAATTATTATTATTTTTTTTTCTCTTCATTTTCAGCGGTACAATAATAATATCAAGGTTTTATAAACAACTATATAAAACTTAGTATTTTGTTGAGCACAACAATAAAGTTCATTCAGGGAAATGAAAGATATACGATTGATTCATAAATTAAGTTCCGAAAATTGAAATGTTCCTGAACAATATCTTACAAATTAATGAAACATGATCGATCTAAAGGCTTGGTTTCTTAGGACAGGACGTCGTCAGCTGGAAATCAGCGCCAACCTCTG